ACGGCAGGACGAGTGTGTGCAAAGCTGGGAGGATTTTGAGGGGATTCAAGGCAACGCATCCTCTACTGTAATAAATTTTAAAAGTTAAATATTCACTTTATATTCGATCACACTTCACATATCGAGATAGTAAGTCTGCAAAGTGAACAAGTTTCACCACCGTCGGAAAGAGCAGAATCTGAAAGTAAATTCTGAAACGGGTGGAAGCATAAAACTCTAAGTAGATCAAACTCTACCCTCTCCTCCAACTACTGCATAATGAATGACCACAGCACCTTAAATTTAAAGTGAGTGTATTCTGGAAAGAAAGAGGTGAAATACTCCAAAATAGCTAATAAGATGGTCCAGATATATGGAGACTTCAATCCATATCATGTGGAATCCAAGCAGAAAACTTCCCAGGAAAATTAGAAAGAATAATGGTTTTTTAGCAATTATCTTCTGGTGTCCGGGAACTCTCATGAGAAAAATTTGACGACTTTTTGATGTTGTCTTATATTCGAGGCTGACTTTCAACGCACAGTGTAGCCCAGGCTGGCCTTGAACTCACAGTGATCCTCCTGCCTCAGCCTCCAGAGTGCTGGGATGACAGGTGTGCACCACTATGCCTGGCTTTGATCACTTTTCAGATTTTTCATTTTAATTTGGGGGGAAGGAACCCTGGACCTCACCTACACCAGGCAAGAGATCTACCGCTACCTACATCGCCCAGGCCAGAAAACGTTAGTAACGTAATGCACGTAGCACAGAAGGAAAATATTGAGGAAAAGTTTAAATTGAAAACTTTCAAAAAGTTTTCTTATAACATAGTTGTTCCAAAAAAAATTTTTTTAAAGACATAAACGGAAACTCTCAGAAGTTCCCTAGAACGCCCAGGGCAAGAGCAAAAGGGTGAGGGGTTGCCTATTATGTTGGATGATTTAAAAAAGTAAAAACAAAACAAAACAGTAATAAAAGCGCCATACACACTGGGAACAAGAAGTGGTTCCTCATTGGCCAGATGCAGTCACATGACCCCCACCGACCTGCAAGGAGTGCCGGGAAATGTAGTTCAATGTGGAAACCAGGACCCAGCGTCAACCTTAGGCATACCCCTGTTGAAACTATGAAGACACAAAGACAAACTAGACAAAGGGCCTGAGGTCTCCATCCCTCTGTGCTTTGATTAATTCCTGCCGTTCTGATTTCATGGCCCTGACTTTTTGGCTGATTCTGACCCTCACCCATCCCATTGCAACGAACATGAGTTAATTCTCTAGCACTGAAGTTAGGACGAGTGATGCGTGCCTTCTGCGTGGGCCGGCTTTGGAAGCCGGAAGTCCCAACACCAGGCAGGACCGTGCTAGCACGGAAGGCTGACCTCAAAATTCTGCTTGGAACATCACTGCTGTATTCCCACGGCACTCTCTCTGCGTGTTGAACTGCTTCCAAATGCACTTTTTAAAAACTTTTATGATTGATCGACTAGTTGATTGCAGTTCTGAGGACTGAGCCCAGAACTTTCACACTGAGCCATGCACTCAGCCTTTCTTGTTTATTTTTTTTTATTTTTTATTTTTATTTTGAGACAAAGCTTCACTGAATCACCAACTTGCCCAAGCTGGGGTACAACTTGCCATCCTCCTGACTCAGCCTCCCAGTAGTGCAGAGATGGCGGGTGTGTGGCACCACACCCAGTATCAAATCCGCCTTTCTCGTAAGGACAACAGCGTATCGGATTAGGGGTCCCCCAGTCCAGCAACTTCTCATGCTAATTTAGCTAACCCCTGTAATCCCAGCACTTGGGAGGCTGAGGCAGGAGGATCCTTTCGAGGTCAAGCCCAGCCTGGGCTACAAAGTGAGCTCAAGGCCAGCCTGAACCGTGTAGTGAGACCCTGTCTCAAAATGACAAAAACAAACAAACAAAACCCAAAAACTTAGCTAGCAACACGCGCAAAGGCGGTATTTCCAAAGAAAGCCGCGTTCTGAAGGACAGTGGTGTAGAACCCAGGATTTTAATGCCTGTATTTGGGGAAGAAGCAGAATTCGACTCCTAAGCACCCATTAATAGTATGTGTTTGTGTGTAATCACATCTTCCGATCTCAAATTTCAAAACGGCGTGGGCAAACAAACTTTTCCCTGAGCTACCGTCGGGAAACCTTCCATTCACCATGGTGGTTAATCTTCTGTTTAGGGAAGAAACAAAAAGGAAGACAGAGCCCATAAGTATGCAGCTTCGCTCTGCATACTGTAAAACTTTGGGTGTGCTGTAGCTCCCAAGGGCTTTGTGTGGGAGGCTTGGTTCTCAGCCTCGAAAATTTTCATTAGTGGTGTTAACTAAAAGGGGTGTGGTCCAGTGGGAGGAAGTGAGGTCATTGGGGGTGTGGCCACGGAGGGGATATCAGGACCCCACTTCCTGTCTGTTTCTCTGTTTCCCAGCAACCGTGATGTGAGCATCTTTCATCCTCCACGCCCGTCTGCCATGATGCTCCTGCCTTGCAGCAGCTGACCATGGACTGCACCCTCTGCAACCGTGAGCCTAATTAAATTCTCTTCCTTGTAAGGTGATTTATCTCAGGACTTTGTCACAGCACTGGGAAGCTAACGCACACAATCATGATCCAAATATTTTTATTTCTCAGGAAGCTGGCAACCCTGCTTTCCCTTGCCCTTGAAGAAAGCTTTCTCTTCTAATTCTGTGTCTACATTCATTTCATGTGCTCCTAGCCTATTTTAATTCAGAAAAGGATTTATTGGATATTTTGCAAAGCAAGGAAGGATTTTGGGGGGAACTTGTCTCATAAAATTCTACATGTGAAATATAAAAAAAAACATTGAAATGCAAGCAGCCAAGTTTTTTGTTCTTTTATCTTTTATTTGTTTTGATGCTGAAGTTCAATCCAGAGCCAGAGTCTACCATCGAGCTACTTCCCCAACCCTTCCATTTATTTTAAGCAATTAAAAGTGCTTTAGGATATTTACAGAAAATGGATGGATTTACATGGGAACTTGCTAGCTGTCATCTAGGTATTCTTGCGTGGATAAGAGCATGCATGAATGTATGTGTCTGTGTGCAAACACACACATTAAACCAGGACTAAAAATAAACTTATACTGAAAGTCATGCATAAAAATGGTAATTAGGCAGGTGTGGTGGTGCATGCCTGTAATCCCAGCACTCGGGAAGCTGAGGCCGGAGGATCGTTGTGAGTTTGAGGCCAGCCTGGGCTACAAAGTGAGCTCAAGACCAGCCTGATCTGCGTAGCAAGACCCTGTCTCGGAAAGACAGAAAAAATGGTAATTGGGTGTGAGGTTTTGCCACTTTTACAAGGATGCAAAGACAGTCACAGGCTGATAAACTGAAACGGGTGATATTTGATGTCTTCCAACTGCTTAGCACATACCCAAAGCCAGGCATGGTGCTGCACACGTGACATCCCAGCACTCAGGAGGCTGAGTCAGGGTGATTGCAACTTCCAGCCCAGCCTGGGCAACTTAACTGAGTGAGATTCTGTGTCAAAATAAAAAATAAAAGCCGAAGGATGTAGCTCAATGTGAAAGCCGTGTGTTCAATCTCGAGTATAGAAGAAACATTTGCGCGAGTCCATGTTGCATGATGCTGAGACACCTTTCTGGGGCGCTTTCTCTTCGTTTCTTGTTCATGTCAGGCATCTCTGTCATGTTCCTTTTGCCCTCAGATCCTTCCCACTGGAGCTCACCTTCCCATTAAAAAAATGATTCTCACACTCAGTCCATTTCTGTAATATTTAAGAGTGCTCCATCCAAATCCCGGTTGGCAAAGGAATGATCTCCTCTTTGGTTGCAGTGCTTAAGACAATGTCCCCAAGTTGTATAAACATTAACTGTCCGTATCTGAATCCAACCATAGCAGTGTGCCCGAACCATTTCATTCGTGCCCCCCCGAAGTAGGACTAAGACAGAATTGAAGAGCTGGTAGGATTTTCTATCCGAGGGAACAGAAAAAGGATAAATCTCTGATTCTTTACGTACCAAGTATCAAAGACTAAAAATACCACCAAAGAGCTCAGTGCTGAAAATCACGACTGGGTCCCCTCCTGTCTAAAATATATCAAAACCAATTTTTTAAATGCAATTTTAAAAAACATTTGTCAACAGATGAGTGGGTCAAGAAAATATGCTATGTATGCGCAGTGGAGTACTATGCAGCCATCAAGAAGGATAAATTTGAAGTACTTATTGGCAAATGCATGGATCTCCTTGGAAAAACCACAGAAGATCATAGGTGAACTAGACATAACTTCACTGAAAATTTCCAGATTCCACTGACCATTGTTTCCCACAGAGAATAAAAATGTCCAATCAGGGGCGAAGGAACACCAAGGTCTTCTGTCCATGCTGGCAGTATTTCATTCCCACTTCACTGCCAATGGGAAACCTTTGCTGGTTTGGGACAGGGCTGAGGAACCTGGCCCCAGTCAGATCTTGGAGAAAAAGCTGTCACATTCCCCATCTCTCCCTCACTACCTTCCCACTGAGGATTTGGGACCTTTCCGCTGCTGTGGATAATTTGTGCATAGTTGTGCCACGAGGTGGGTGGACATCTCAGAACGGAAAGCTGGAGTCCTTGGGTTCCCATTCAGGGTCAAACTGGCAGACATAGTCGTATTCCACCCATCCGAGCACAAGGCAAGACCCGCCCCTCTGATTTATCTCTACCACGTCCCCATCCGACTAAAAGGGGGATTTTCAAACAGAAGGCACACTTCACAGCCAGGCCTGGTGGTGCACAGCTGTCATCCCAGGTACTCGGGAGGCTGAGGCAGGAGGGGTTCACAAGTGTGCACCCAGCCTGGGACACATAATGCCTTGGGAAGACTCTGTCTTGAAATGGATAAAAATTCAGATTCAAGGTAAAAATGGCTGGGAATGTAGCTCAGTGGGCAGGCCCTGGGTTCAAGCTCTGGTACCAGAAAAGAAAGAAACAAGAGAACGAAAAGGAGGGAGGAGGAGGGGAAGGGGGGAGGGGAGAGGAAGGGCAAGGGGGAGGGAAAAAGGGAAGGGGGAGGGGCAGGGGAGGGGGAGAGGTGAGGGAGGGGAGAGAGAACACATTTCGGGTGAACGGATTGTGCTAAAACTAAGAGGAGCCTTCCATGGCGCAATGAGCTAACTCCTTCTTTGTCCTGGTTGAGTTTTGCTCTCGGCGGTCGGGTCGGAGGGCTTGGACCTTCTCAGACGTTCTCAGCCTCTGCAAAGGAAAACGAGAGGGAAAAGTCAGAGCAGTGGGTGAGAGGCTGCTGGGGTCATTTTCACACGACCCCATGCTGTTCCCCCATGACCTGCCGTCTGCCCGGGTGTCTGACTTTTCAGCGAGTGGAGCGGCTCTGAGTGAAGTCTGGTATTCCTGGGGGCTGCGCCCGTGGAGGTGACGTTCGTGTCTGCGTCACTCTACACGAGGGGATGTGATCCGCTCCGTATTTAAAAACATAATCACAGAAGGACGACATAAAAAATTTTCCCAAAGGGAGACACATCTGCTACCAGGTAGCATGGTGGCTTGGTGCCCACCCCAGAGTTGGCCCCAGAATTCCCCAGGTACACCAAAATTTGTAGATAAAAATAATCTTAAAAAAGGACTTGAGTCTATCTGTAACATGGTGTAGTATTTGCTCACAACCTACACAATCTTCTTGTGTGCCTCACATCTACTTCAGGTTGGTGTCATGGTGCACACCTATATTCCAGACCCGCTGGGAGGCTGAGGCAGGAGGTTCGCCACTTCAAACCCATCCTGGCAACTTGTCTTACAAGGAAAATACGACAAGGGCTGGAGGTGCAGCTCCGTGGGAAGGCCCTGGGTTCAAATCTAGAGCCTCAAAGAAAAAAAGTCACCAAATCACTTATAACACCCCGTGCAATGTGAATTCTATGCGAGTAGCTGTTATATATTTTGCTGTTTGGGGGACAAGAATCCAAGCTGTACATGTTCAGGACAGATGCAGTTTTTAAAAATGTTTATCAACACATGAGTGGGTCAAGAAAATATGCTATCTATGCACACTGGAGTACTACGCAGCCATCAAGAAGGATAAATTTGAACCTTTCACTGGCAAATGCATGGATCTTGTAACCATCAAGCTAAGTGAAGTAAATCAGACCCAGAAAGCTAAGTATCACCTGGTTTCTCTCCCATGAGAGAACCAGGGTGTAAATAATGTAGAGGGCACCAGGAAGGCAGAATATATAGAGATCAGAAAGGGAGTGGTAAGGTTCAAGACATAATAAGCGCTAGGCGTGGAGGCGCACACATGTAATCCCAGCACTGAGGAGGCTGAGGCAGGAGGATCCTTGTGAGTCCGAGACCAGCCTGGGCCACAAAGTGAGCTCAAGGCCAGCCTGAACTGCAGAGTGAGAGCCTGTCTCAAAAACACAAAAAATAAATAAATAAACAAACAAACAAACAAACAAATAAATAAATAAATAAAATAAACACACAGCAGTTCCCTGTGACGACCGTAACTGTTCCATATCACAAAGATATCCCAGCGGTATAAAATAAAAGTAAAAGGAATCAGGAATAGAGCTCAGCAGAGCAGCGCTAGCCTGGGAAGTGCCAGGTCACGAGTTCGAATCCTGCTATCAACAGAATAAACTGAAAAGAAAAGAATGCCTACAAAGTAAGAATTAACACTCCTTTCTGTCCCAGATGGGTCCCGTTCTAGGACGCCGAGGCCCGGGGCGCCCCGGCTGTTTTGCAAGTACAGAGTCTTCAGCCCTGGGTTAAGAAATATTGACAGATCGCGGCCAAAGACGCCAAGGGTGACTCCGTGGTGGTACTGAGGGTGGAGGGAAGTCGAGGTACACTTATCCACCGCACCCCGAACTTTAGCTCTGCAGAGACCAGGGTTCACCGCACCCTGCGAAGGGGTCAGCAGCACTCACAGACCGGCAGGTGGCGCTCACAGGCAAGCTTGGCAATTGCAGGAAGCCTAAGCAGAAGATCTTTCCTACAGCAACTTCCCCAGGACTTCCCCCGGGACTGAGGGGCTGCGGACCCCAGGGAAAAGCACCCCGGACATATGAGGGTGTGGGTGGTCCTGACATCAAAACCTCAACGTGAACAAAGCAGGCTTTCTCTTCTTTATTGCTTGTTAAAGTGCTTTTCCTAGCAGTGATCAAAAACATAGTGACAGCTGTGGCCAAGCGGCGTCCAGCAGAAAGTCAGCTCGCAAGCACACGACGCTGCGTCCTCGTCCACCTCAGTCACCAGATCGGGCACCGTGCCACTTCCGGCTCCTCCCCAAGGTCAAAATAACCAGGAAAGGTCAACGCACCGACTCCATTCACGACATCGAGGCGTCCAGGACAGCGCAGCTGAAGACCCTCAGGAAGGAGGACTCCAGAGCTGCTGCAGAAAGCGGCCAGGACGGCGGGACGAGTGTGTGCAAAGCCGGGGGGATTTTGAGCGGATTTATGACCTCTGCCTTTGACTGGAATACATTTCTTTAAATTTAAACATGCCGTATGTTTTGATCACACTTCATTACATTGCACCCTGTGACCCCTGGGTTGGCGAATTCCTCGTGGATTTAAAACCCAGGGTCCTGAACCTTCTGGGAGTAAAGTGACTGTAAAAATTTCCTATCTACCTAAGATATTTATCCTGACTCCTGAGATTAAAAGTTTCACTGCAAACCAGACCAAAACCGTCCACAGATAGCGGAAAGGAAGTCTCCATCTTGCTATGCTCCAACTGATGTTAATAATTTAAGGCCCCAGCCAGTAACATCTAAGCTTGCAGGATAAAAGAAAAAAAGTTAAAAATACACATGTAAAAAGACAAATATGCTCCAATACTGGTTTCTCTCTGGCTCTTGTGTGCTTTCATGTGAAAAATCCTACTTGAAGCCAGGTGTGGTGGCACACACCTGTCTTCCCAGCACCCGGGAGGCTGAGGCAGGAGGATCTTCGTGAGTTCGAGACCAGCCTGGGCTACAAAGTGAGCTCAAGGCCAGCCTGAAGTGCAGAGACCTTGTCTCAAAAAGACAAAAACAAAAAAAAGATAAAGTCTTTTCACTGAGCTAAGCCTCGCATCGCTCGTACCAGGGGCAGCAGTGCCAGTGACAGACCGCGGGAAGGTTTGGGGTTGCTTGCTTAAATTGGGGACTTTACAGCCACTGGGGAGGAGGCGGGTGGTGCTCACCGCTAGTCCGCAAGCAGTTCCCTCTCCTGCCGGACTTGAAGAAGCTCACGCCTGCACCCAGGAGTGTCACCACCACCACGGACACGATCGGGGACACGATTCTGGCTATCCTGTTACCTGCAGGAGTCCAGAAAGACAACAGCGTGAAAAACGTGGGCGGCAGGAAGAGCACGCATTTCACACAGCTCCAAGACGCGCGCTGTGCCAAACGATGTCTCGCGTGTAGATCGAGCTTATTTTGAGACAGCGACCTTCTTGCCTCAGCCTCCCGAGTGCTGGGATGACAGGTGTGTGTCACCACACCAGGTAGACTGGCTTTTGCAAATAACCGTGCTCTGAAGCAGATGTGACCCATTCAAGAGGTTTAACATGAGGTTTGCTCAGGAAAGACACGGCACCCGCTGTTTCTTGTTCTGCTGAATTCGATTAACTTGTACCTCTGTAGGGGACACTCATACTTTCGGGGTCGCTACAAATCTGGGTCCTTCTGAGAAGAGGGCAGGAGGAGATGGAGGAGGAGATGGAGGAGGAGGAGGAGGAGATGGAGGAGATGGTGGAGGAGATGGAGGAGGAGGAGGAGGAGCCGGAGGAGGAGGAGATGGAGGAGGAGATGGAGGAGGAGATGGAGGAGGAGGACATGGAGGAGGAGGAGGTGGAGGAGGAGATGAAAGAGGAGATGGAGGAGGAGGAAATACAGGATATGAAGGAGGAGGAGATGGACGAGGAGGAGATGGACGAGGACGACATGGAGGAGGAGATGGAGGAGGAGATGCAGGAGGAGGAGGTGGAGGAGGAG